CCACATGAGACCGATAAGTTCTCAAGTTCTGAGAGGACATGCATAATCTCAACGTCTTGGATAATTAATTTACCATCGAACATCTTTGACACGTGTATCGACCACGTAAAGATTTAATCCCGAGAAATCAGCAAATCAACACTTGTCTTTCTTAGAGTACGTATTGGACTTCAGTCAGTTGAAATTACACTCTTGATTTGGGTCCGATCACTTGAATGTTGCCGCTAGTCTTCGTTGTCATTACAGAAACGTAATAGTCAAACACTGTCGATCCAGGAAAACCTCCGGTATGGCCTTCTCTACCGCTCTTCATTAAACAACTCTTTCCAGGGGTTCAGTAGGTAGAGTTCGATGGACCAATATGCTTGGGCATAACAAATATCGTGAGGGACTTGGAATTGTTTCACATACATAATTTTACCAGGATAACTCATGAATCTATGCTCCGTCGTCGTGTAAAAGTAAGGATATTCAGAAATTCCATCCATCATCTCGTCGTAAAGATCATGGCTTCGAATCTTTAGAAAATTCAGTATTCTTGTCCATTTCGCGTGAATCATTTGCAGGTACCTGATTTCCGCACTCTAACTCATGTGAACAAAATCTCCAAATCTGACCGTAACATTTTATTCAAGCTGCCTGTCCCACAACGTGCAGCTGAGCGTAAGGCTAATAAAGGGAGTTTCTTCGATGCATGGACTCTTGCATCTTGGTCGTCTTTCATGCTTGTCGAGAATGTGCTTGTTTTCACACAGTCACCTCTATTATCAGACACAGACCCAATCAGTTCAGATCAATCACTTACTGTGAGCGGAGATGCTTTAAGTGATCTTCAATGTCTCATATTTATTTATCCCAATGCTTTATTGCTATATTCAAATGGCTGGAGAGAAATCTCGAATCTCATAAATAAGTGGTCATTCTACCTCGCGTCTTAGGTACTACACGTAGAGAACATATAAGACCTGTGCTTCTGTAGGCTTTGACAAGCATAGCCTTCGACTCTTGTAAATAGAATGGCGAAGGAAAGCCTTAAAAAGAACGTGTAAAAGCTATGGAACAAACATGAAGTTCGAAGCAGTTCAAAATCAGAAGAAAAGCTACTGATGCAAAATAATACAAGGAGAACTTCAAGGATTCTTCATTCTAATCAAGTTACAACTTACAACGAACATATTCAGAAGAGATATGAATCTTGCATATGAAGTGCCAACCCGCATGAGAGGAGAAAGAAAAAAAACAAACTACCGCCGCTTAACAAATAACTGACTCATGGGGATTTGCATTGACATTTATAATTCAATGAAGAATTCACAAGCAAACGTCTTGCTAAAGAGTTGAAGTACACTCGTTTAAAATAACTCGCACTTTTGCGATGAACCACTTTTTATACTTGGTCTTGCCAGTGGCTTGTCAGTTGGCACATACATGAATAGTTCTCCGAGTGCTGGCGTGTGCAATTGCTTGGTACTCTACACCAAAAATATGGGTAGGATATAAAACAAGCCGTGATTTCATACAAATACAGTAAGGTTTGAACTTGGAGGCTGTGGTATATCATGCTTTAGACGAGCTATTATCTTTCAACAGCAGCTTTGGAATATACTCTCTTCCGTTTGCTTGTGCGAAAAAACCGTTGACGGTAGAAGAACATCAAGCAATAGTTTAGAGGAGCTGGTATGAAGTATTATACATCTTTAGCTAAGATTTCACATGTGTTTGCAATTGACACATGCTATTAATGGGATGAAGGCGTGGATTCCGAAACCAACGATTAACAGGTACAAGAATTGACTGTAAACACATGGCGGAAAAAACCGGTCTATGCAATGTAATGATATGCAGGTGTCATCACGTTTCATTTGATTGCATCTTTTATTGAAAGAAGAAAAAAAAATCAAAACATAAAATTGTAGTTATTTTCGTAGACTTGATATAAATCCTTCAAGGTTTGAATATGATTCTAATCACATTGGTATGCTCATCTATCACCACATGTACGTAAAAGAGTAGTTTGGAATCAAGACTAGAAAAGGAAACGGTCGGTATCAAATAAAATAATCAAATAATTTATTTACTCCTTATGCACATAGGACTTTTGAGGATTATCTTCTACGTGTCAAATTGTCTACATGCAAGTATTTAAATAATTACTACATAAAATGCATTTCACTTAAACATTTGTTTGAGAAACACGCTCATTGACTAAAATGTGATGAATTAGGGTTATCAGCATGGAATAACATGCAATGAAAACCATGAGATAGAATACAAGACATATTCTGATACAATATTTGCAACGAGTGAATTCCTACACACAAACACCATGGGTAAGGTAGTTTGTTATGTGGTGATAGATTTATTCTAAATTCTCTTATGCTTGAATAGAAATTTAATGCAATTTCTAAAGCATATTGTTTGATTTTTAGGCGGTTTCCCTCACAACAATTTTGCATTAGTTTTTGATTTTAAAAAGTGTCAAAGCTAGTAAATATTGAATTAAGTGCACATTTTTTTGTTATCCATATTGATTTTGATCTTTGCTCAGAGCTGATTACAAAGATAAATTTTTATTTGTTTTGGATATCCGCTTGTATTAAAAGTAAGTTCAAATTCTCTTTTAGTAGTCAAATATATGTTTAAATTTTTTTATTCTAATCATCTTTTGATACAATGCTCATGTTAAATAAATGTGAAATATAGAGATAAGAATACAGTTCATACATTTCTTCTTTGTGTTTAGTCATTGCATGAAAATGTCTTTAGTGATATAGAATATAAAACATCAAATATATCATCAAATAATTCTTTTGGATGAGTAATTGATGAAATAAAAAATGGCATATAGATTTATATTGATGAAAATTAAGATTTTTCATTTTAAGAAGTATTACATAGACCACACATTTTTTTGGATAATTTCTATCATATCAACTAGGATGTGAGACTATTTAATATTCTAATTAAATCTCATTTTAAACTTGTTGAGATTTTATATTATGTCTATAGTAGTAAAGGTAAAACCATGAGAGAATGATGGTAGAATACAACTTGAACAAAAATTCTATCATTGGTTCACATGTGACTTCTACAAATGAATAAATATGTCATTATTTCGTATACTGTCATAACAATTTAATTTATTTGAAAGGCTGTGGTTGTAAAAAAATTATCTTTTAACCAGATTACGAAGAAAGGAATCAATACTCATTGCATAGATTATTGATTACTTCTAAACACAAATTAATACTTTTACTCGATTCTGATAATGTATCATCCTAAAAATACTCAAATTACAAAAAACACATCATAAATTTATTTCGAAAAATTAGGAATAATTTAAATTTTCTTTTTCACTCATTACTTATCAGAGTAGTTTTTTTTAAAAAAAAATTTAATGAAATTTGATTTTTTAATTTCTATATTTTCTGAATAAAATATATCATAATGGATTTTGTTTAACTCACAAGCATTCTGGAAGTGGTTTTCAGTGTAATCATTTAATGTGAGTTCATCAATTTTTCAAGAGAAAGAACATAGATGATTCTTGGAGGTGCTAGATTTGTTAAATTCTTGTTGTACACTGGAGACGTACATAAAACCATTAAAGTAATTCTTTTTGACAATAACTAGTCATGAATTTTTTATCATAGTATTTTTTATGAGCATCTTATCAAATTTGTTCAAAAATTAGTTTCACACTTTTTTGAAATTGCATCATTAAGAATAGATGAGATAATATTATAATTTTTAATATTACTTATATATATTATTATGTATTGATCTATTTGTTAGTACTTGGCAACAATTATAGTAATATCATATCATATATGTAATGAAGCGCTTAGAAAATATATTTGATTGAGCTTAGACAATCTATATACATGGTTCACAAGGAACAATTTAATGTTTTGAATATTGTAGTTACACGTTATATACTATCAGATTGTGCAATTACTCCTCTTCCTGGAGTGACAATAGACAATGAGAGGTCTTCAGTTGTATTTAAGTCCCAAAAAGTCAAACATTTCTTTTTCTAGTTTTTGAATAATACAGAGCCATGAATGCAGATTTGACTCTTAATGGAGGAAATACACGAAAATATGTGGCAAATAAGGTGACATGAGTACTTTATTACCATACTTCTAAATTTATATTAATCATGAATTTTTTTATAGTATCTGAAATCGAAATCCATAGTATAACAATCCTGTTTGGTGATGCTCACAAGCATGATCCATAAATATATAAACAATTTGGTTCAGATATTGCTCTCAAATTTACAATAGTGATGCAATTGAAGCCAGTCCTATACTTTCCTTTGGCTTGATGAGGGTCTTCCAATACATATCGAAATTTCTCCTAGCTCATTACTCTCAGCAATTCGAACGGGAAGATACTGTGTAATTTTGCACTAACATACTGTATCGATAATAAAAAACAATGAATATCAAACGGGTAAGTCATCCGACGCATGAGCTCCAGCATTCACTCGGATGTCCTTCGTCATTGCGAGATTGATTTCGGAAGTTTTGCCGGAGGTGGGGCGACGGAGGATATGACGGCCGGCGAAACACCCAATCAGTCCGACGATGACCGGCAGACGTTGACGTCTATTCAGATGGGCGGAGGGGAAGCTGAAGAGAACGGAGAAAGGAGAAAGGATAGCGACGGCAGGGGAGGGGAGGGGAGGAGGGCTGACGGACGGACGGAAGGACGGACGGACGAAGGGCGGTCAGGTAGAGGTAGACTCAGAGAGAAGCATCGTGAATGGACGGAATGACAGGTGTGAGTCACCTCGCACCTCCTTGCTTCTCTCCGACTCGGGACCTCGGGGCCGCCTCGCTCGCTGCCGGGCCTCCCCCCGCGGCCCCCATCCCCTCCCGTCCCTGGCCAGCCCGGCCGCCCGCCCGCCTGCTTGCCTGCCCGCTCGCCCGTCCGCCCGCTCGCCGCTCTCTCTTATGTCTTAATGTGTGCCTGCGACCTCTCATCGTCTATCTACCTCCTCGAGGAGCAGCCATCGCCCGGCGTCGTCCCATCTGTGCTGCTGTGCCTCACACTCCAGAGGGCTGGTGCGTGCACGGCGTTTTGACGCCACGCCACGCTTCTTCATTGCATCTACAACTTCTCACGTATAGATCCATCCGCCTGCTAGAGGGCAAGAAGCAAGGCAGATAGGGCAAGAGGAGGAAGTGGAAGAGGAAGAGGAGGAGGAGGAAGGAAGGAGAGACGCCTGACAGAGGGAGATTTGCCGGAGGGAGTTGATTGCCTGATTGATTGATTTTAAGAAAGCTGTGTCGAACTTGGAAAAGAAAGAGGAAGAAGTTCGCTCGCGGGTTGTTCTCGATTTGCGGGACCACGCATGACTCGAGATAGCCTTTTTTGTTCTTGAAATCTTTTCAGTTTGATTAGTTATCACTGATCGCGGGGTCGGGCTCGCGCTCAGTTCGGGTTCGTACGAGGTCGTCGTGTGGGGGTAGAGGGTGAGTTCGAGACTTTCATATCATCTATCTCTCTTTTCTCGTCCTTCTTGGTCATTCATTCCTCCTCCTCATCGTCGACGGCGACAACAGCAGCAACGTCTTCTTCCGCGTTCGCTGCGAGTTCTTTGCTCGTGCCTCGCGTTCTACTCGTCGTCGTTGCCATAAGCCTGTGTCGGTCGGTGTGGTGCAAGTGGTGGAAGCGGGCGTAATTGGTGTAACATCGGGCGTGTTTCCGTCGTCGAAACCTAGCCTTCATGCCGAGGGTCTAGCCGTTCATCGTCGCGTCCCAAGCTATCTCCTCACTTGCTGTTTCCGGCCAGCTCGACTTTCGAGCTGGATTATATCAGCCTTACATTATATCTGGTTCTTCTTAGCCTGTACTGGGGAAGGTATTGTCATATACAAGAATTCGAGAACGGGTGAATCCTAGTGAAGTCGTTCGGATGGGTTATTCAGACCATAGAGATGGCTGGCTCTTTCAGCCTATCATGATGCCCCGCGACGCAACCTCCGAACACCAATTCCGCAAGAAGCCATGGAGATGGGTGAGTGGCGTGTCAATGAAGCAAGTCGACGAAAAGGCTCCTTTTGTACAGACCCTGAAGTCCGTGCCTTGTTTTAGGAACAAAGCAAGAGGCAGACACAATAAATTCAAATATCGATTTTCCAAGAGAAGAGTGCCTTGTGCTCCTCGAAACACCACCTCATTCATCATGCGAGCAAACAAATTCGGAATCAAAGCTCCCTTCTACACCCCCATCTGCCCGACAACGGTTGGAACTCCGACAATTTCTCCCGCGCCCTGGCCCAAGGAGACTCTCGGAGACGGCCAGGTAGCAAGCGACCTCGGTGTCAATGCTTATGGCTCCATGAATGGCTGTATACGTCTTAGAGCTGATGCAGAGGATTTTGACGTAGAAGGAGAAAGAGACCTCGGGTCCACATCTTGCAACGAGAGCGACACAGACCAATGCAGCTTTCAACCGGCGAGTAGTGTGCAGCAAGTGGAGGAACGCATCGATCACTGTCTGCAGCGCTTTGAGCTTCTGAGCAGCAGCAACAACAGCATCAACTCCGCTCGAACCAACTACAGTAATCAAAGTCTGGTCGCCAAGGTGGAAGATCAGGAAAATCACATAAACTACCTGGAGGAAGTGAATATGTCTTTACATCAGCAGCTGTGGGCTATCCAGCAGGAGTTGACAGAGCTGCGGAGGAGGCTGGAGAATGACAGGACCGGATCAGAAATTGTAGTCACCGACGAGAGTTTGGGAGATGGCTCTTGTGCTGCGTAATCGATGTCAATTGGCTGGCTGCATGTTGGAGCCGATGTGCAGCTTTGACCCCACTGTGAATCATGTTCACTCGCTACCTATCCAAATGCATCTTGTCTAGGCTCTTTGCCATGTGTGCCTTTACACCAAGCTAATGGCCGCATATGCCTGTTGCAGCCAAGGTGTGATTGCAGGTTACAGAGTGTGTAACTCCTTGACAGACGGCACCAAGACCAAACATCTGTTCCATGTTCCATACACCCGGTCAGTGTGTGGTTTGTGAAGTTCATTTACTGCTGACTTTACTTGAGGCTCCGTCACTCCGTCACTGTTCGATTTCTCACTTAGCTATGGGCGTCTAGCAATTGGGCTTACGCTTCGAGACGCATGTCTGCAGAGCAGGAAGCGACTTTCTTCCTGAGCCGCGCAAACGGTCATGCCGGTGTCATTACCATGCATATCACCGGCCATCTTATCATCGGCTAAAGAGTGTGTGCTATAGCAGTGGTTCCGCCTACGAAGCAAGAGAGTTCTGGAACTGTGAGGAGCCCGTTTCTAGTCAGATCATATGATGCCTGAGCTTCAGTGGAGGCATGTTCGATGATTTCTGTACAATACCTTCTTAGTCTTCAGATTCAATCTGCAGAGCCCCGCTGCTTCTTTCACTTTCCGCGGCTAGACGCGCACCAAAAGATTCTGTGAGATGAGGTCAAGCTGGTCATCAGCAGAGCTCTTCAGCTACCGGATAGACCATCTAGCCTGATGTCTGTTGACATAGTAAGCGAATTTCCTCGTATTAGGTGGATGTCAGGTTCTCGATGTGTCTCGGCCTGTGGTCATCTCATGGCCGGCACGATTCTTCCGGGGCAAAGCTCAGCTTTTTCCAGTGCTCGTCAACTAGAACCGGATCGGCTGCCAGCAAGTCTGTTCCAATTCCCTTAGATACAGTTTGTACAGTGTTATTACCTCTTGTATGATAATTTCGGTCACTGCCCGATCTAGAGTGCTGGACAAGTTTCCTGTCGTCACGTCTTCAGTGTCTATTCGCGTCTGCCCGGCATACATGGCTCTGTTGTTCCCGTGAATCGCTTTGTGGTTAGATGCATGATCTGAGCTTAAAGTCATGTTGTCCGTGTTCACACTTCCACCTTTTCGTTGTAGCTGTACCCGACCGCTTTTCGCAGATTTCTATGTCGACTAAGTCTCAGACAATGTTGGCAGATGTCTTGGCCTGAAGAAGGAGAAGCCACTTATCTCATCCCTCTTTACCTGATTTCACATCACCGTGACCAAATTTGTTTAAATTACCGCGGTTGCATCCCGGCAGAATGAGCCATCGGCAAATGCCAGAGATCGATTACTGAAACCCAGCAGTATCACTTACTACTGATTGCTTCTAATACACGAAGATGACCGTACGTCGGGAGCCCTGTTTATAGCAGTCCGAGGCTATAGTCATTACTGATGATGGTGATGATGCAGCAATCTCCCACGATCTCAGAACCTCTGAAAATAATCATCAGAGGGTAACATGGAGTTCAGGTATAACGGTATAGCAACAAGACTCCAGTCTGAGTATATTGACTCTCATAAGTTCTTCCTTAAACAATTGGCTGAGCCTCAAACGAGACACCCGTAATTGGAAAGCCTGTGACCGTGTTTTGGACGTTCCGCGATGCTTCGTATGCAATAACGGTGAAGACACAAACCGCACAACGCCCTTATTAGAAGACTACACGTGCGTAAGCATCTGCAATGCGAGGAAACGTGTTCAGGACCTGAGTTCCAGATGACCTCCCTGCCAGACACGATCGAAGGCCTGCTTTAGTTGGTCTGCCCTTCTTGTTGACTCTGTCACACGAGACTCTGTTCACGTACAGCAGACACCTTTTTTGTAATGCACCTTGCGAAACCGGTCTACTGTAATCGCACAAGTGGAGACAATTCACAGCTCTGTTCAAAAAGTAAGCGGGGACAGATTAATAAACCAAAAGTATGGGAAGACACGGCAACAACTGTACGAACAAACCAAACCTCAAAAATAAACAAATATTGCGGGGCACCTGAAATATGAAAGACACCTGGAATATCTCATAAGTAGAAAACCTATATCATGGATATAAGATACTATAGTAATAATTCATAGTGTTAGTCAACTATCCCATAAAGCAGAAACCGGCGATTAGAATATTGGTTAGATATAGGAATAACAATACCTTGTATATCAAAACATCCAAGATAAAACGCTTTACAAACAATGGTGGTACTTCAAATACCTTATATATCCTAACATCAGAGATAAAACTATTAACAAACAAAGGTGGTATATCAAAATTCACCTAATGTGATTGCACTCCCTTGTATATAAGGTTGGTGATTGCTCGGTGCAGAGTAACTGAAGCACATAGTCTTGAATCAATTACATAATATGCTAGACAAAGTGGGATGGATGTTGTTTGATGATATAGACGCATGGATGTTTTGATACAATAGTTTCTCGCATTTCTTTTGGTTGATAAACTTATCAAAATTAGTATATCTATCTCCAGATACCTCAATATAACATGGGAGTCAATATTGAGATATCTCAATATGTGTGACTTACTTAATTCGAACCCAACAAAAATCTATGCTAATATGCAAAATGTAATAAGGCTTCAAGTATCCACCCTCAGACTTAATAGTAAACTCCACTCGATTTATGGTACCATGAATAGTTACTCTCTAAATGAGAAACATGCATAAAGAGATGAATTATCATGTTACAACAAACAATATGATATTTTTGAGATTCAGGTTAGGCTTTTGACTTTCGCAACATAACGGAATCAAGATGCATGTTCCCTCAACCTTCAAATTTATGTTCAATTTATATTTGACTAAGCATACATTCCACAAAATTTTCAGTCCGTTTAATGGTGATGTTCCAAACCGTTGAGTAATTAGTTCTCCGTGTTTCTAACAATTTGATGGCACATATTGTAAATAAATCGCCTCCCAATGTAATGGCCCAACTTATGCATGCGTAAGGCTGAAGACAACATATGCACTATGAAACACTATTGTCTTATTTTTTGTTTTTAAAAGCGTGCATATTTCGTATTTTACAGAAATTCTAAGTATGAAGTGAGTGATGTCGTTGAAAAATAATCTTTACTTGGCGTGGTAAAAATTGAAAACGCTTATCTCTCTGTCACAGGAAACGTGCACCCCATCCTGTTTCAGTGATTTGTTCAGTGGGAAGTCACGAGAAAAACTACACATCTCTGTTTATTATGGTCTGGCACTGAGATTCTGTCCAGTTAGCATATGCTATGTGTCGCGGTCTATAATTTGGTGAAGAAGTCTATAATATAGAGAAGCATTTTTATTATATACCTCCCTTGTCGGTGTAAAGTCAGTACTTGCCAAATTGAGTTCACGTAGTTTAAATAATTGTCGTTGACCGTTCAACATTACGTCTGGGTGGAAAAATATATCATAAAATTGATAGAACGCGTCCAAGGAGTCAATGACTGAAGTGAATGAGTTTAGTGCTGACTGGAAGCATGTGTAGGAAACGATTCTCGCTTTTGTTCTCACTGGGTCGTTCGGTGTGACGTCTGATTCGAGACAAACAGAATCAGAATAGTGAAGATAAAGTTCACGTTTATGATTTGACGATATGCTCTGCGTATGAAGTTGCAGGTTCAGCCCCTGACCTTCGGTTAAATCTGCGTAGTTTAGAATCGCCACTCACGCTTTTCATGAGCAATATTCTCTTGAAATATAGAAGGTCGATTGGTACGAGTGCTAGTTTACTTCAACACTTAAAATGTCGGCGGCCATCAAGTTTTCATGGTGGGTTTGTGGATCTTCGGGGATTTTCATTAAACAAACACGTTCGGATTGAATACTTGATGTGTGCTCCGTCTGGAGAAAGGGACTAGGAATTCCAGCTCTAGATATGAGTATAGTATGCCACTGGGTGTAAAATTATCATTCAGCAGGGACAGAAACAATCGTGGTTGTGGGAATAAGCTACATATCCATATATGACTCATGAGAAACATATGATTGTTAAATGTAGCGGACTTGAGAAGGGAGATCAGTAAACTTGCTACGACGCAGATTACGCGCACCTTCTGCTTCAGATCTCGTGCCTTCTCAATGGTTCAGAGGACATTTACCGTTTCTTTTTGGCCTGACTTCTGTTATTTGTTCTTCGCAAGCCATTCTATAATGCCTTTCTCTGCTTCTGTCAGCTCTTCTTTCTTCTTGTTACGAATTGTTCCCTGCACATATCACGTGGTGTTCGTCAGACATAAAAGCTTTCGACACAGACCTTGTCCAAAGTTTACTTCGAATTCAAGCATTTAGAAATCCTTGGACAGATTACAGAGACCAACATTTAGTCCAATGGTTTTTCGTTTTGTCTTCACTCTCACAGAACTGAACTTCTGAGAAATAGTCAGTACTCAGAAGAACTTTACCGATCTCCTACATATTCGTATAAATTATTGAAAACGCTGAATGAAGGTGGGCACAAAAAAGTCTTAGAAATTCCCACCTCTACGAACTCAAAGTACTCTTTGTAGTTGCGCCTGTAGTAATCATCCAGTCGCTGTTCAAAAAAAGACTCAAACATCAGCCTACAATATTTGGCTTAAACACGGTAAAAAATAGTGACAAAACTGTGCCATTTGGCAGAACGCCAAACTAGACCTTATCTCACATAATCGAGGCAAATTCTGGACAAGGAGAAAGCAGACAAACTTTGCTCCTCGATGAACTACTGTCATAGACTAGAACAGAGATCTCGAGCACTGGCGGACCTGGGCAAAGCCACAGAGAAAAAACTGGCTTCAAGAAGATGATGTTTACATGGAGACAGATATGATGACATATCAAGCCACTTGAAGAAAAGATGTATTCAAAAGGCCATGCCAAAAGAAGAAGGACTCCCAACTTCCAGTAGAGGTGAGAGTCCATCCTCTCCTGGAATGTGAGAGGTGGCTCGAAAAATAGTAGCACTTTTAAAACAACTCACAGCATAGAGTAGTAGAATGGCAGTCAGAAATACATACCGCCTTGTCGTTCTTTTCTTTGTTCGCTTTAGATCTTGCGAGAAGTTCTGCTCCACACAGACACCAACACAGAGCTTATCACCTCACCTTCACTTCGTTATCCTACACCAGCTCATCTCACTCAATCTCTAATGGTGACAATTAATGCGATCCCCTGCATTCAAACATTGTACATTGCTTAGAAAAATCACCTCATCTATTCAACTCTTCTGTACTATATCCACATTCCCCTCCCTGGAGCATATACCTCGAAATGTAGCTGCTGCAAGTGACTAAGCAAGTGATCTCATTGTCCGTCTCCCAGTTATCTTCAGAATAATCTAAGACACTCTTGGACGGCGATATTGAAAATGAGATCTTCTTAGTAAATCAGCAAAATTGAAGAAATTGTAAAATTTCCGTAAGGAACTTGAAGAATTGAAATTGAAGAACTAATGAGTTCTCTATTTTCCTTTCTCCCACAGGAATGGACCTGGCAGGTATGTCAGCAGCAGAAAGTTGCTGAATGGAAGAAGTCTGGGTCTGGATTTCACATGGGAGGGACTGATCATGACTTTTACATGCACGTGAGATGATTATCGTTCAAACTCTAGATGCAAGTGAACCCGGCGGAATCAGGTGATCTCATGCCACGACGAGATTCTTCCAATTCCGCTCTATCAGTCCTCAACGATCTTGATGAACACATTAATTTTGGAAGACAACGGCGATTCACTAGCAATCACGGACTAAGAGCACGGAACAGAGGACCCACTTTGGATGAGGGCATTTCCGGCAGGTGCGTTTGCTTCGGATGCGGCTGGAACTTCAGCAGTGGCGGCTCCTTCGACCGCTGGCGGGTCAGGAAGTGCCAATTCCGGTGGGGTAACTTGAGGATCTGTTGCGAGCGATTCTGAAGCTACTGAATCAAAATTAACCTCTTCAGCTGCTGCGGAAGTCTTCTCGAGATAGTTGAGCAGCACCGTCCCCGACATCATGGAAATGAAGAGACGTCTGCCACTGCTGGCACCGCGGGATCTTTCCTCCGAATTCTGGCCATTTCCGCTGCCCACAGAGACAGCGGCTCGACATGAAGCCGCACTCGTGATTCGACTCGTCACCGAATTGTCCGACGGCACACTCGGTGCAGCCTGCGAGCAGCAACTGACCGGGCAGCCGAAGGCATTCGAAAGTGTGAGCATTGCAGCTCGATTTGCTCTCCGCTGCGCTTAGAATTGTACGAAGGCCAGTACTTTTCCCCGCGCTCGCTGCCTCGCCCGGCCTTCCCTGCGTCCAGACGCAACTTTTGCACGTCACCACTGTGAAGATAAGACGGCCATAGCAGATTGCTGGATAGCAGATTCTGTCAATTTCCATCCCTCTGACAAATTCGACTCTGATCTCTTCGTCCAGCAGCCTCCAGTCCCAGCTCCGGCTCCAGATCCTCACCTTTTCGTTAACTCGAGATTCCACGATGCTTCGGCATCTGGCGGCCCAGCCTTCCTTATCACAGCTAGAACTTGATCTTCTCGGCCATCTACTAACATTTAATACCATTTAAATTATCAAATGGGGAGATTATATTTATTTCCACATTTGATTCTTGGCTAGTCTATTCTGTGTTTCACTATTGTGTGTTGCTCTTGGCTTGACGAAGGCGAGATGGGTTCAAATCTTCGTTATTCGCGTAAGATACAAAGCATGATCAATTTGATGCCAATTCTAGAATGAGGTATTTAGATGCCATTCAGAATACGATATGTGTTATATCACAGCACAATTTTATAATATGGATTGTATTAGACTCTATATAGTATGTATCTCTTCTTGATCTAAGACAAGAAAATGTCTATTGATGAAGTCATTATCATCTTAAGGAGATAATCTAATCACATCATGCATGGCTATAGTTTGGATATTGCTATCCTTGTGAGAGTCCATATCTTTCTTTCTTAATCTCAAAAATCCATCGTCTAATTCATTGTAAAATTCTCCTAGATATAGTGGATTATTTATTGTGTTTTGATTTTTTTGTCTTCTAAGTAAATATCAATCCTATTTGAATTTCTTGAAACAATGATCTTTGTATTGAATCAACTCATATTGACAAGTTAAACTAGTTCACTAGCATTACATTGTGAGTGCTATTGTGCTCTATAACGGTTGGCTAATATGAAAAGATGATGATACATTTCTACTTCTAGTCTCATCATGTAGAAGATGTTCCTATCACTGAGCTTGGTACAAACTAATGGCTAAGTTTAGATTTATCTCGAAATATGAACTTGTAATTTGATTGGATCTATCATTAGTGCAAAAGGCCATTTATTATTGGTAAATACCAATCCGGAATATAATAAAATAATTCAACAAATGGCAAAAAAAACCAATCAAAGCTATATCAGTCATAAATGGATTGGGGGTTTTTTGACCAATTGGAAACATATGAAAAAAGTAAAAAAACACTATTACAACATATTTTAGTTTATTGCACATAAATCAAGTTATGGAGTTCAAAAGAATTTTATGATGGAAATCATAATGCCACATATATAAGTGACATCTATATGGTATCTAACTTTAGCAATATTGTTGCATTATCTTGTTGTGATCAATATATGATGTGTTAGTTGATGTTAAGGATGATTCATGTAAGTTCTCCATTGAGATTCCAAAAACTACTTGTAGGTTTTGATTCTGATTACTAAGGGCGGAGAGACCTAGCTCACATTTTGGATATGATCACATATTTTTTGTGTCAAATCTGTTTGTGATTTTTGAATAACTATTGATGAAATTTTTCATTTTGATTAAAGTTTTTTCATAGTTGGTAAATAGATATTATCAAAATTTTATGAACTCGTTTAATTTTTAATATTGTGTAATTTAAAAACCTTTCATTGTGTATTTCACTTTAGTTTTGATATTTGAATGTGAACATGTAATAGATTGTATATTCAAGATTCAATTTAAATCAAATTTAATTGCTATAGTGTATGTAACTCTAAAAATGTGATTGTTAGAACTTTAAAACAAAAAATTTTATATGAATATAATAATTTTTTCAAAAATTTTTGTTTTTGACATAAATATATCTATTATATCTTATACCTAGAAATTTATTTTTTTCATTTTCAATCATTTTTGATATGATAACTTTATTATAATTATTCATAATCTTAAATTTTGAATTAATTTAAAAATTTTAAATTTTGATTCATGAGAAATTATTGCTGTTAAAATCAAATTATGCAATATTAAATTTTAATTCTTTACCTTGTTAGTAAGTCAAATTACACTATAAAGTTATAATAAAAAATTATTATTTGATTTAATGATTCATTTTAAGAATTCTCAATTTTTTTTCTTAGATTCAATTTTACCTTCAAACGCATAAACTAGGACTTATATGGCATGTAAAGTTCCTTGATTAAAAAAATTAACTAAAATTATGCATTCTATTTGTCTTAATTTTGGTAATTTTGGGATTTGTCAATAAATATAGTTCATAGGCAATGTATTACTCAGATAACATTATGAAGTTGGTCTAGATTTGACTTACATAATTGAATTCTTGCGTGTGGATCTCACATATTTATGTGATTGTGATTTCTGTACAAAGACAAAGAATACGAGGCGTACTTGTGACAAAGTAAACGTGGCTTAATACTACTTGTGGCAGGGGCAAATGTTTATTGAATTCAACAATTGTTACTAAAAAAGTAAGGTGCTAGTTATTCCTAACTTTGGGCTAATTGGCCCTCAACCTAATATATAGTATGCGGCCATTCATTGATACTTACAGATGTCAATGACACTCCATTGATGACGGTTAACATCACTAAGGCGGTACTTCTAACTTGATGCATCCTTGGTGTTCCTCCTCGTGGCAAGCGTGACGTGGTTCATACATGCCACGTCAAGTTTAGCTTGCCACAAGTAGTATTACGATTTTGTGCATCATTCCTTTCGTGCATCTAGCTTTACGCCTTAGCCGACTGGAATTAGCTAAATCATCACCACACATGTCAGATTTGATTATTCACAAATAAAGTTCCAGAATATCAAACAAAGGAAGAGAGGTTGAGCACACTCGCAGTTTGTTCACTATAAGAGGTTAAAATTTCATATTGTTGCCCAATGAATTGTGACTCTAAAGATATTCGAAGGCAAAATTTGAATTTGTAAACAACATTCGTCCGCGACAATAAACTCTGATTTGTCACTGTACTTGTTACGAGCCAGATCGATGCTTGTGTTGTTTTGCACTCGATTCAAGTACACATTGAGCTTGCTGCTTGTTTAACATGGGCTTAATGCATGCATGCACAGCAGAATTTGGATATCACAAGTCTCATTTATTGTCAGTCATTTCGCTTTTCTCGTCATATGCCTCTTAGTTACAAGTTGTAACCAAGAGAGTATTGTAGCATACAAACCTCTCTGGTCGAAGATATTATGGCCTTCAAGCCAGTTCACATGACTGTTGTGATGTGCTTCAAGAGTAAACTGCTTGTGCATCAACTGTTCCTGTTATAAGATCCGACATACGTGCTAATGATTTGGCTAATTCCATATGGCGAAGATGTACAACTAGATGCACAAAAGGAATGATGCACGAAATCGTTTGACCTGGGAGGCGTGAGCCACATCACGTTTGTCACAGGGAGGAACACGAAGGGCACATCAAGTTAGAAAAACCACCTTAGTGATGTTAATCACCATCATGCAACGTCATTGACACCTACAAGGATTAACAAATGGCCGCAGATCGTATATTAGGATGAGGGCTAATTAGACCAAAGTGAGTAATAACTAAAATCTTTCTAAAAAAATAATTTCATCTATGATCATAACATTTTTTATTTATTTATGTATGTAACTATCAAAGTAAAGGTTACTCTAAATGTTGATATAGATACTTTAGCGTGCACTAATCATAGTTACCACGTAAACGTTCCGCATGCTTGGTAGGTAAAGAGTAGGTGTATGAGTTGAAAGCGCCACATCAACGATCCGTGTACTTGTAATGTAAGGATTGAGTGTGTTAGTTAGTGTGTTGTTTGAAATTATCACATTAGTAATCCGTGTGCTTATGAGGATTATATACTACGTAATCCATGTACTATGAGTGAGATGTATGCTGGGTATAAGATCTTATTTTCTTATATTTGTTCGTGAGAGTTATATAAAGGAGAGTAGAACCATTGTTGATATTTTTCATTTTCAGAGTTTATGTCTACGTATTCGATTGAATTTCTCTCTAAACCATTGTGTTACAATGTAACAACATTTAATTTTGGTTTATTTTTAAATCTTGTTAACAAATCCCATAATTTAGTAGTTCTAGAATAAATCCAAGAAATTCAAAAAAATAAATTGTTGAAATCTTTTTATGTGATCATATACTTTCACAAAAATGTATGTTAATAAGAAATATCAAAAACAATAAGTTTAAAATTATTTCTAGTTATTCAAAAAAATGAAATTCATATATTTTATATTTCAATAATATCTATAAATTTTTTTGAAAAAATGTTATATTTAACATATCATTAGATTTTTAATCTCATATAAAATTTAAAGAATATCAATTTTAATATATATCATTACATTCATGTATAAATTCAAACACTAATTTTTCTTAAAAATATGTCTTAAGAAAAATCTTCAAAAAGTCAAATAATTGTACTATATATCAACACATTAATAAAATATGTATAATGATGTTACATAAGAATTTTTTATATCTATCTTTTAAAAAAATATTTTTAAACAATCAAATTCACATTGACATAAAATTCATAATGTAAAATTTTTAATTATTTATATTATAATATGATGTTTTATGTTTTATGTTATTTTATGAGCATAATTTAATTCAGATTTAATTAAAGCAAAATATATAACATATGAATATATTGATTAGATGATAAAATTTTTATGTGTTTGTGATTTTTTTGGTTTAAAGAATATAATTTCTTAAATAAAAAAAAGATTGAATATATTTTATGTTATTATTCAAATACAATTTAGTTATCAAACACACTCACACACTAATTCTAGGTGAACCACGTATTTTCAATCTAGAGTTCATGTGTGAGTATTCGAGATTTATAATTCTTAGTTTACCATTATTGGACATACTAGGCTTACCAAAATATAGCAATTTTTATTCACAAAGATAACTTCACTTTAACATTGAGAGTTTTAATGATATCCCTTATGTAATGAATGATTAATTAGTATATGTAGAGTAAAATTGAGACCTAAGTCAATTCATAAAAAATATGTTATACTGTCATGTAATATATATGTATGTTGCAATAATATGTAATTAGTAATGATATAGTGTAAAATTTAATTTGTTAAATATTTTTATAATAAATGTAACAAGTAGAGATGATAAATTCACATTTAAATGAATTATGTTCATATAAGATTTGAAGATGTTGAAAAAAGATAGTCAAGAGTGATATCTTTGTTAATTTATCCAGTAAAAATTTAATATGGATTTCAAAAAAGTATATTATTAATTTATTTTTTTAGTTGCTTAAATTTGTAGTATCTGAATTTCCATTGGAATTATATTATATTTTTTTTATTTTTCATGAATAAATTTTTTTAATGATTTTTTTGTAAGTATAATATTTTTTAAATAAATTATTAATAAAAATATTTAAATCTCTAAATATATATGTTCTCTTAGATTTTTCAATTCTAATTAAGTATGAACATGTTCATGATAATGATTAGAAAAAATACATAAATATGAAAACTTCACTTCTTGCAATAATTTTACCAAAGATATTGCTTGATGACACACTATCAAAACGTAAATTACTTGTTGTGAGACATCAAGTTTCAATTTATCCGATGAGACCCTACCAAATAGTCCACATCATCGTCAACTAGGCTACTTAAGAACGCACCGTTGTTTCAAGGATGAATTTGTCCGCAGCTATTCATGTGTGCAAAAATCATCATTGTAACAGTCTGTGATGGAGCAGAAATTTGACGGTTTTGACGAAAGAACTCACGATTACCGGAGGTGGAAGGTGTAATTCCAATGGCATTGTCATGTATCTCAGATCACTGTTTCCATATCCAAATGGGATTTCTCTGAATCTGTGTGCTTGTGCAGATTGTTTTTGTGCAATCCTTTATGTCCATAAGCTTCGATAAATTCGGTTGGGTCGGAAAATCTTGCGGGTGAGAGCATATCATGTTTTGATAAAATTCAAGTGGCACACAGTCGCAACCATCGCATAAAACACGAATTAGAACATATTCGTAAAAAAACACGTCTTAGAATTCATGTGTACAAGAACATACCTGTACTAGAACGCATATTAGAACTCACAGACGATACACTATCGCTAAATTGAAACTTGATGGGTCACATAAACAATTTACGTTTTGATGTGCTCCCATCAAGCAAATATCTCAATTTTATCACGACACTGTTATTCTTGAATCTAATTTGTGAGTAAGATGAAGAAGCAATGTTATCATTTTCATTTATCTTGGAAACTTCAAAATCAAATTGGAGATGCATGAATCAAGGAGGATAATCACTTCATTCTTGGACTCCATCATAATCACTATGGGTGAGAACCGAGAAGAGGAAACAGTGAATGTTTTATCTTTTACCTCAACTGCACATCAACCTTGTCGTTGTGTCAGGCTTCTTCTTCGAGGATAAAACTGACTGCTTGTTCAAACATTTGGCTGTATTCTACTCGACAGCAACTGAAAACGAGATTTCGAAGAGGCCACTGCAGGAGCCAGGCTAGGGGTAGAATCTGAAAGTCATAGCTCGATAGCTCGGTTTTACTAACCCCAGGACTCTCCCTTTCATTTTGAGGAAGCTGTCTGTGAACCTGGTCCAAAATATTATTACAGCTAATCTTAGATATTAAAGTTCTCTTAAATTCGGTTGCAGCAAAGCAATAAGAAAAAATTATGTTCACATGTAGAACAAATACGTAGTCTTATCGCTCTTAGATGAAAAAATTGCAAGCCACATCGTACCACAAACATAATCAATTCAACAATTTGCTCTGAAATTCGGTTTCAGTTAAGCAATAAAAATATATCCGGTTCTCGTGTAGAACATATGCACATTCTCATCACTCGTAGATGAACAAATTGCAAGTCACATCGTCCCGCAAACACAATTTACTTAACATTTTTCTCTTAAATACGGTTGCATTTGAGCAATAATTAAATCATGTTCACGTGTAGAAAAAATACATAGTCTCGTCACCCTCAGATCGTGTAATCGGACCCGATGAACCAATTGCAAGTCACAGAGTCCCACAAACATAATTAATTTAACATTTTATTTTCCGACGAGACTTCGGTTCTGGAGCGAAGCGAGAGGCAAAATGAAAGCAAGAGGGCTATAGACTGGAGTAGAGCGCTCGTGTGAACAAGGTGGAGTACAGCGCGTGATGATGACGACAAGATGGAGCGTCCCCTCGAAAAGCCCGCCCGCGGATCGGACTCGGATAAGGAAGGAGGCCGGGCGCGCGGGGGGGCGCGCTGCGTCGCCGTTACGAATGATGCCGCGGGGATTCGCATCGCGCTTTTCATCCGTTCGCGTGGCGTGGGTTCGAGGGTTCTCTCTCATAGGCCCCTCGCGTCGTCTTCACGTCGACTATCGAGAACATCGAGTCCCGGCTCTTGACGAGCGCCTACCATCGCATGCTGAGACGGCTTCTCTTTCTGCGTTGCTCGATTGTTCCGTTGCTTCCGATTTTGGTGCGGTGGGCATGTCCCGTCGAACCTGGCAAATTGTGATTTGGACACTTATGGAGTATTATGTGATTTTGCTGTTCTTATTCTTCTTGGGTGTGTCACTCGGTGCACGCAAGCTGGAACACGCGTGGCGAAGTTGAGAGAGTCCCCTCTCCGACAGTTCGCTTCCATGGATATGATTCACTTGTCCATTCCAGATATGATGCAGTACAATCCAGAAAGGTTGCAGTACTGTAGTTGCTTCCGTGCTCTGTTCGTATTTGAGTTTGGAGTTTGAAGTTTTTTCGGAGATGACAAGGTTTGGAGAGAGTGCACGAAGAAGTCACTTATGATGAAGCTGCTTTTGAGTGCGATTGGTTACGTGCTAGCATGTCGTTTGTGATCTTCTAGGGTACTGCGTTGCTTATCCAACTAGAGATTCTATTATAACTTATCTAGGTATGTTTCTCATGTAGAGAAGACAAAGGGCATTAAACGGATTGTTGTTAGAAAGTTCTTGTTGGCCTTTGTTTATCGTACCGTGATCAGGTAGTGTTGTTCCCATATCTATCGGAACATTTATCCACCCCAGGAGATATGAAGAGTTGTCGTTGGACACTTAACAGATCTTTCTATTTCACGAGTTTACATTGTAAGCGATTTAACAGCGACTCACATGTATTCATCTTTAGAGAGGTTAAAGATTTTTACTGAGATTATTGGACCTTTGTCAACCCCAATTCATTTCATAGTGTTCACATCTTTCCCTCTTCTGGTATTTCACATTTCACATTTCACTTTATGAAATAATCCTTCTACAATCCTTCTACTCGATTCTTATATGAAAAAAAATGTCTCTTAAAAATTCATTATTTTCCATAATGAATAATACACATATTTTCCATAATTCATATACACATGAAGTCTATAATGAATTATAGACTTCATGTGTATATGAATTAGCTATATCAAAGTGTATGTTTCATGCACACAACGTAGACCTTGTAGAAAACACTAACCAATTGTTTATTTTAATTGATTCCTAAATATCTTCTTGTATGTTTGAGACTCAATTTGCAGTAAATGGTTTCCTTGGCATTCTTACATCATGTCACCCATTATAATTTATCCATGTTTGAATTGATGTGAAATTTAGTGTCATGTTTAGGGTCAAGTCATCTTGCCTCGTACATGTGAATCGCACTTAGAATCGCACTTGTCTTTTATTTTAAAGTCGGTTTTCACTTATCTCTTGACTCGCTAAACAGAGGAGCATGAGAGATAGGACATCCTTTCGAATACGAAATCCTCGGGACTCGAAGAAGTTGTTTGGGGACACTCGTGGTTATTGAAGTCCTGTTGCGTCTCAATTCCACTTTAATAATCATATATCTTCAGTTGTAGAAGATACTAGAGGGTTAGACAGTCTTCATCGGTGAGATAAACCTGTTCCTGAGATAATCTTGCTTCCTCAATAGCCGATGTGTCTTGGATAAGGTCTCTGTCTCTCCTGATCTTTCGTAGCTATGACAAAGTGGACCGTACGTAGAAAGAAGCCCGTGACAAGATACAACGGTCGAGCCGATGCTAGGTGCCATAATTGAGAGCAATCAACGCGCGATATCGATCGAGTGTGGTCTACAGAAGCAGCTACTTGAGAGAAGGCTTGCAGTGTTGCAAAACGATGCGACGTTTTATATTGTTTTATGTCAACTCCTAAATTCAGCTAGAAGCTTCAAAACAGGCCAGATATTGTAGACCAGATGTAATGGGACCGCCCAGAAGCACCTGCGCCGGACACAATCACAACACTGTACCGTAGGAGGAATAATCATCTACCAGAACCGTGGCTCTGGTATCCAACAGGTGGACGCAGTAAAATAACAAAAAGCTTGGCTCTGGTATCTAAAGCTTTACATGCAAGCTTATGTAGAGAAGGTATGGGGTCCGATAATCCGGACCGAAGGGCCAATGTCCGATCGACTGCATGGATGAAAAGTTATATTATTGTTTCGTGCCGATGATACACTGTCAAAAGGGGAAGCATCACTAATATATTTCATTTATGGCTGTACTCGATATACTGCACATGCGCAATGAGTATCCTTTCCGCCTCCGCATGTCGGCAGGCTTAAGAGTCCCGGCAGCATCTCCAACACCTGGCCCGGTCTTCCGATGGCAGTGGCTACTCATTCCTGTCACTCGGATTGGACACTAGAACATTGGTCCATTGTTTAGAACGCAAATCATGAGCTAGATATAGACAAGGATTGGATTTCGGAAGCTCTCTCGTTTAACCTCTGCCCGGAGTAAAACTTGCACATGAGTATGCAGAGTTCAATAATTTGCTCAAGTGGAGAAAGAGGAGTCCAATCACAGAGCTCAGACTAAATCTCTGTCTCTTTTCTCATGCCCACTCGAGAAAACTTCCACAAACTTGGCAGGACGAGCACATTCTTGTTTGTCATTATTGGAACAATCTCTCTCGGAACCGATCCCAGATCTTCATATCTGAGCTCGTGAGCTTCCTCACATGTGCGTAGTGACAGAACTCCGATTTCATTTTTTATCTACTGGAAGAAATCCTAGACAATGATTCCAATTGCAACAAATGTCACGTGTCCTGAACAAGTAGACACGAAGCCATAGCAAAACTATACTGTGGGTAGAGCCATTGAAAGTACCACTTTCTACATAATGCAAATAACGAATCAAAGATATATTGGAGTCCACGATCTGGGAGTGCGATTTATATTAAAATTAGCCTCTTATGAGTTGGATTTGAAATGTTCAGTTTCAATCCAACTCAATGGCGGGGCTACCCGCCAATTTCCAATTAAAATTTTTTCTCGACCTCGTTTTCACATTCGGTAACTCACAATCTGTGTAGACCCTTCCTGGGCTTGGGGGGGGCATGCCCCCCCCTGGCTCCGCCCCTGTATGTAGGACCTAAAGAAACTCATCTGATGCATAATTGCTGCGAATGTGACTATGACTTTTAATGTAAGATGTGACTTCACTAACAAGATCGTTTTGAAAATCATTTGTCATGAACATGATAATCTAGGTACTGAAACTCACATGTTTATTGTAAGGTTGCTAAGTTTAACAAGCTGTAGTGATTTATGATGAATGATGAAGATGTTCAAAAAAATACCCACGATATTTTGAATATTATGAGTAAAAATTAATTTGAAGAAGAAACCTACAAATATTGTATAGATTTCTACATGGTTCATTTAATTGGCGTGAAGATGTCTTGCGAATATGTAGTAAACACGACGGTCGGACGACTAAACACAGTAAACACGAAAAAGACATGACAAAGATCATATGAAGCATAATTGGATTGTCATAAAATCATCAACATGTGTATGCCATTTTCATTTACACAAATCACATCTTGTTGTAAATATTCATATGCATTTGCGCTAGTTATATGAAATATACGATACAATTTTGAAAAAAAGAATTCAACAGATTAAAACAAACATTACTAATGTGATTATAATGAACTCCAAAGTAGATGGTAAATCTATTTCATAAATTTTTAATGTGTTTTTTACATATTGACTATTAAAATGGGAATTGTTAAATACACCACATTTTTTACTAAATACACCACACACACCTGCTTATCCCGAATACACAATGGATTTCGGAATGTGTCACTCCTGTTGTCTCTGCATGGGGCACCACCTCCACCGATCAAAGTTGAGGGTTCTATATGTGGAAGGATTAAGAAAAAACTCACACAACTGGATAATAGAAGTTGTGTATGAAATACTCAAAACTGAAGAGAGTAGGAGCCAATGGTATGGGAAACATTAGGCCATGTCTTCAATTTTCATTGAGATTTAATTGTTAGAGAGGTGTGGAGAATAAAATAGGTGTGTGGTGTATTTAGTAAAAAATGTGGTGTATTTAACAATTCCCATTAAAAATTATTTAACGTACTCCCAAACTCTTTGATAAATATTATTGTAAGAAGTAAATGTGTGATTATTTATAACTTAAATTTCTTGCAATAAAAATTTAAAATTGAAAAATGATTCAAATATATATATTAGATAATTTTTTATGTTAATATAATTAATTATAAAAATAAATTTATATAAGAAAAATAAATTGGTTTGAGTTTAATAATAATCTTATGAAATATAAATTTTTTAAGGATCAATTTTGGAGATAATCTAGAAAATTTAAATTTTATTTGATGAGAATTGATGATAAAATCAAATTGTGATTATTCATTAAAAAATTTGAAATTTTTTCCAAAACCATAAAAATGATCTAAATTCTTGTAAATAGTTTATGAGATGAATTAAAGATGATTTGACAAATTTCTCTGAACTTGCTTAAAGATTGGCTATTAAACATTGTCTTGCACTGGTATGAATGTATGAGTATGAGTAAATTTAGCTATTGATTTCAATATTTATGTTTTTATGTGATCAAAATATATACTCTGGGTTTTCCACAAAAACCAGCCTATAGTAAATTTTTTGTTTAGCTATATCAACACACATTTATGTTTTCACCCAACCACTTACGTTAAATAAAATCATTGGTGATTGCATACTTTGTTGATATGAAAAACTTCACGTAAATCAAGGATGTTTAAAATTTTGAATCGATGATGAATTAACTAAGCATTGATTTGCTTTGAAGTATACAGCTTTTGATAAAGTTTCAAGAACTTAATCTTCTTTTACTATGAAATGTGATCTAGATTTATAGTGATAGTGATATGTATATATCAATAGATAATGACATAAACATCTCAACATAATTTTTAAATTATTTTTTATATTCAATATCTCTACAAAAATCATGTAAAACTCTGTTTATTACGTCGATTTGGTCTTAAAGTATTATGTGGCAAGTGAAAATAATTATTAATGAAAATTAATTTCTTCGTTTTTTCAGTACAATTTAAATTTTGACAATAGAACAATAATTCATTTTATTTTAAAAACCACATGCCTTGATGTGCTGATTGTTGTAGCTTCAAAATTTGAATCTAAATTCAATATTATTGTTGATTTGAAAAAAAACTACAGACGTTAACATTTTTAAAAAACCTGAAAAGTTTTCGTTGTTTAATAATAGTGTAAATTTGACTTAACCGGAAGAGTGAATTGACTTAATCGGACAATTATTGAATAAATGTAACTTCATTCTTACATTTTACAAGTCATTCATTTTGGTATCAGAAGAATCTGACAGCATTTGAACTTATAGCAAATCTACGAGGATAAGATGAAATAGCAGGAGATAATATACATTAAGTCGGAAAAGAAGCTTGTTGTAAAGGAATTTTGTTTTAGGAAGAATAAGTGCATACCAGAAGAAATGCATCTTTTGGTTGTTTGACGTGGTGGAGGTAAGAAGATCTAAGAGAAGACTCTTTGGTAAGTTTCAGAGAGTACCACACGAAATCTAATCGGAGATTGAAGAGGCAGCAAATTGAGTGCCATCACAATCGAAAGTGTACGAAACTTACTTGAAGAACAAAGTTTATCAGCTCTAGTATAACGAAAAGATGCGATTTCAAATTTTCTGGTTCGGGCATCTTTCTACAATCTTTGGTACCGTAAGACTTTTCTTTCATCATTACTGTACTTGCAGTGTCTTTGTGATGTTGCTCATTTGTACGTGTCTTTGAAATTTCTGCCTCTAGGTTTATTCTTTTATTCAGAGAAGAATTCCACTTATATTTTTTTCCAAGCTTCACAGCATTTTGATAATCCTCATGTGCACCATTTCCACCGTCTTTAGCAAGCTTTCGCGGCATTCAAGGCCGTGGACTGTCATATATAGGACATTGATCGAGAATGAACATCACATTATTTATAGTGTGGTCTGAAGTCTTTTTGTGATGGCTCTTTGTCTTTACATGGACAGCATGTCAAAGTTTGCATTGAATATTCGCGCATGTTACAGTATTCACTGTGCATTTTAAGCACTACATTCCATAAAATATTCTTATAACATAATTTATGTAGATACATACCAAATAATGTATCAATGGATCACTTTTAGGATGATTATGATTAACTCACACATCTGACAGGAGCGAACATAAGTGGAGAATGTGACGCTATCAAAGCATCTGAAATTAGTTTTTGGAATAATACTGAATGTATCCACCCTACATCAACATCGAAACCCAGCACTGCAGTCGATTGACTCAAGCAACAGCACGGGACCTGCTGCCATTGACCTTAAGAAAGCAGAAAGCCCTGAAGGTGAGTAAAGAGATTTGTTAGTGGTTCCACTAGACCGAATGGACACGGAAACTCATTGACTTCCGAGCAAAAAAATGACGGGTTCCTGTAGAGACCAGACGCGCTTGAGAAAAGTCCAGTGCAGGAACGAGAAGAGAACAGGTCATAAAATGCAGCAGGATTATGCCGAGGATGATGATGATTAAGACAAATGCTAGTCGTTTTCATCACGGTACCTTCACATACTGCCCCCGAACCAGGTTTAGATTCCGATCTTGTTTTCTATTTCTCGACATAAACCAAATCTAAGAACGCGAAGGTCCATTTCACCTTCCGCGCTGGGCTCTATTCATTCCCGTGGAAACATCTCTTCAAAGTGCGATCCTCCGGCTCCTTGTCTCATTTGGAACTCGAATTCGATTTCGATTCGAGCAATCGATCCACACAAAGGGAGGGGGAAGGGGGAACGCACTCGCCACTTCTCAAAGTGCAGCAGCCGTCGCAGCAGAGCTGAATTTCGAGGGAATATCCGACGGAGAAGCGAATCTGGGAAGCGGCGGAGGAGGAAATCGATCAGTCGGGCGGGCGGGCGGGCAGCGTCAGTGACCGGCGAAAAGCGGGAACAAACATTCCTGTCGCGTGTCTCGACGAAGGAAAAGTGCGCTGCAGAGGAACATGCATTCACCGATCCACTGCCGGTCCCGGTCCCTCTCCCGGTGCGCCGTGGAGTTTAGGGTCCACCCGTCCGTCGCTGGCAGACGAGGATGCAAGCCACCGGAGTGTCAGGTTCTCGCCCCGCGTCAGTCGGTCAGTCGGTCGGATGTAACCACACAGTCTATGTAACCAATGGCGATCGGATCGAACTCGGGCCCTGCTAACTCTGGACTTTATCCGCGGGCTATGCGGGGTTAGAATCCGCGAGAGAGACAGAGAGACAGAGAGAGAGAGAGAGGCAGTGACGAGGAAGTGCCAATTGACAGACGGCCCCCTCCCCCGCCAGGCAGCCATGCGCAAGGCCTTCGCGCACAGACATTCTCCTCGTTGGTGCCGATGATGGTGTTGTGTTGCTGGTGCTACTGGAACTGGTGCTCGTCGGCTCTCTGAATAAGAAGAAGAAGAAGAAGAAGATGATGATGGTGGTGGAGCTGTGCTTCGAGCGGAAGCGATGGTGATGTGCATGGTGGATATCTATCTCTCGATAAGATCGAAGGGAGGCGTAGGTGGGCATCGGTGCCGCAGTGAACGAGCGATTAGTGCCGAAGGTTTAGGGTCCGACCACGGGCGCACGAACACCTAAAAGACGCACGCACGGAGAGAGTGAGAGAGAGAGAGAGAAGAAGAGGGAGGGAGGTGGAGAAGGAGGGGAGAGGTTGATTGCGCGGGTGTTGGTTTGGTTTGGGTGGGGGCGGGCGTACGAAGCAGAAGCAGCATCAGCAGGAAGGAGGACGTTTTGAGAGGACAGAACACGAGGCGAGAAGGCACTCGAAGGAAGGTCGACGAGATAGGATGGAAGGCGAAACATAGCGAGAGCAAAAGCTCCAGCAGATCGCCACATCTGCTCTCAATTTGCTCTCGTTGCTGCTGCTGCTGCTGCTGGGGTTGTGCGATTCTCATTGGTGTTCTGAAAAAAGACGAGGACGACGAGGACGACTACTACGAAGGTCGACTGCGACTGCGACTCCTTCTTCACCTCGTCTTCTTCTTGACATGATGACAAATAACGGTGTGGATTAGGCGAGGCTCGGCAAGGTAAGGTGTGTGGCGAAACAGGGCAATCTTGGGGACGGGCAGTAGAAAAGTAGGAGAGCAGGGAAGGGGAGGAGAGGAGAGGAAAGGAGAGGAGAGCCGAGGGTCGAGAGGGCGAGGCAGGGGCGATGACTCTTGGGTATGAGCCGGGATTGTATGCCTACACGGGGAATGTGGAGGAGAAGGGAATACCGACGTTGATAGTGTGGAGCCATGAGGGCACGAATGTGTCGGTCGAGGGTTCGTGGGATAACTGGAGCACGCGGGAGCCTCTACAGAAAGTGGGGAAGGATTTCACGATCATGAAAATTCTGCGCAACGGGGTGTACCAGTACAAGTTCATCGTCGATGGGAAGTGGAGCTACGCGGTGGATTTGCCCTCCATGTACGACGAGATGGGCAATGTGAACAATGTTCTCGACGTCCACGACTACGTGCCCGATAATCTGGACGGGATTGCGAGCTTCGACCCTCCCCCATCCCCCGACTCCACCTACGGCGACGATGCAATGCCTGCCCCGGAGGACTTCGCCAAGGAGCCCCCCGTGCTGCCCCCGCACTTGCATCTCACTCTGCTCAATGCCTCTCCTCCCCGCGACGGTCAAGTCCCCGGCCCGATTCGCGTCCCGGGAACCCTATCACGCCCCCCGCATGTGATTCTGAACCACACCTACGTTGACAGGTCAAACTCGGTCATGACCCTGGGATTGACTCATCGATATCGATCCAAGTTCGTTACTGTCGTTCTTTACAAACCTGTTCGTAAGTGCTAACATCGGCGTCACCATCACCGTCACCGTTTTTCTCATGGTTTGCGCTCATGCGTTTTGGTAGGAAGGCGTAGAAGGATGATTTGTTTAGGCTGAGTGTAATTGTACCTAAGATACTTGAGAGTTCAGGAGGATTTCGATCGGCCAGAATCGGCCAGGCCACGATCCATCATCATCCGGTTGCTCAGAGACAGAATACTCAGTGTCTTCACACGATTATGTAGATTGTTTGGATAGCGTAGCGACAATAGGTAGACGATATCCAGGAGTAGACGTGGTTTCCCTTTTTTTTTTTTTTTCCTTTTCTTATTTCGTTGGTTTTCCAACTCTCCCTTGCCATGGATTACCCACCAGCAAGAAAGCAGAAGCAGCAGCAGCAGCAATGTGGGCTGGGAAAGATGTACCCATTGAGATCAAATCAGAGGAGATAGATGATGCTAAGTGGTCCTGGATATAGGAAGGGCAAGCAAGAATGCAGGAACGATCTTCAACACAACGTGTGTGCTACGAAGAAGAAGAAGAAGACCTGGTGACTAAATTCCAAATGAGGGGACATGTACACTAATTGTAAAGGAAGAGCTGGCATCCTCAGTCGGATGACCCCCCCCCCCTCTCAATACTGTAGGTGCCGTTTTGGCCAATGCAAAAAGGAAAAAAAAAGAAACGAAGTGAATATCATTTTCTGACTCTCGCAAGGTTATCGTCGTGTGCCCAATCAATAACTCTTCTCCACTCCTAAACTGCTGTACTCAAGTTTCTTGAACGTATCTTTTGAAGCGTTGGTGCATCACCCGAGCACATTCCGAAGAATCTGCAGTCGATGCTTTCGTGGTCCTCGTTTGTTTTGGGTTCCGTGAACTCTCACCTTTTCAGTGCATCGTAGGCATGACCGAGAGTGTTGCAACGAGTTCGGCACGACAAGTAGCCATTGACAGGTGACTGCACCAGCCAACTGCAGCGCGAAGTCATATCCAATCACTATCTATGTGGCTATTTCGGAAAACGTATAGAACCCGAAGTCTCATACTTTATCACACGAGTTGAGGAGTAAGCATCATGTGGGCAGATCCTACCAGGAAATCACTTTGCTTGCGCCAACTGTATTCCAGTTAATGTGCCGTATCATGGTATGTTCCATGTGACTACTTCTTTTGGTTCGCATCACGACTTGCGCATCCGGCGCATAAAGCTGGAAGGCGGTGGATCTTCTATGCGCATTAACTCCAAAGAAATGACAACTGAATGCCCATGTTGACCGACCTCGCCAGTAACGACTCGATGGAATCGAACATATTCTGAAGTTTATGTTGATATCGGATTTACTTTCTGCTCTCGACCATCCAGATTCGGTTTCCGTTCACAAACACACTTGCGCTTATAGCGCGAACATCAATCGTTTACGTGCTTGAAGGATGCATGACCTTGAGGACTCTAGAACTAGAAAAGTGCCCAGCAAAGCAGATCATCGCATCTTCGACTTGTTCGAGTAAAACGAGTGAGTTCATGTGCTGGAAATCACTTGCTTGGTTTTAGACTGGAGGAAGGAAAGGCTTGCAAAAATTTGCACTGAATCAAAACGCAGATGAGTTATAGAAAGCCAACGAGGGTCTTGCCACAGTTGCGTGAAGAGAAGAACTTGCTGCGGGTTTCGCCCATGACATAAAGTGTGGTACGTTCTACGCAGGTCAACCAAGGGCCAAAGGCATGAGAGGTGTCATACATGCAAGGCAATAACTCATCGAGACACTGAAGTGAACCCTTCTGATGAAAATGTGTTAGCAAAGTGGGCAGAACGTCCTTCATTAATTATCTTGCTACATTCCGTTCGTGAAGGCTAGAAAAATAGTTCCCGACAGGCTCGAGATCACTCGAATCAACTTTCACTCTTAATTGCCTTGATCCACTCCAACTCAAGCCTAAACTCTCCGGGTCCCGTCACTGCTTCTTCCGGACCCACCTCCACCGTTGTTGATATGCCTAAGCCCGTGATGCGAGCAAGATTCATTTCATGATTTACATTTAAGATTTTGCCTCTCCATGTGGGAAGGAAGCGATTCAGCGGTATCTGGAAAACAAAAACGTGATCACAAAACAAAAGGATTTCAATGAACGTTTTGAAGCAAGACTCTCCCAAACACGAACGTATCTAAGCTTATCTGTCCCAAATCCACACTAAAAAGGCAAAACTCCTGCATAAGATTATACACTTCGCCTAATCCGCACAACATGTTTGAACACCTCGAAATTGCGTTAGTATCAGTTGCAGTTCTGTGTTTCATGTCAAAATCCGAGTCATCTTCAGATTGATAGAAAGGTGAATTTTATGTGCACAGCAAGCAGAAATCATATTGCAAAGACTGATACACTTCAACTAACACAGCGGAATGAAATGCATTTGCTGGATATTGAAGCAAAGCTTTCTAAGTTGGTGGAAAACGCAAAATGCAGGTTTGTATGTTGCACCCAAGACCGGAAAAGCGCTCATGTTATTGCAAATGATGTAGGTCTACCTTAACTGTACACCATTCATCTTTTGGTGCAAACAAAAAAGCCTGCCATTGGTTGAACTTAGCATCGACAGGTCCCATCACCCAATTCTCTGTTCGAAGCTGCCAACACAACGGTATGCAAAATATTAAACTTCGAGTTCCCTGTACAAAGTGTTATAATTACAGGATGCTCACGCGATGCAGCGGGGTAGAAAACAACAGAAAAGAGAACCTTCGGCAGCACTGGATATTTTCAGCATCGCCGTGGAAGAACTTGGTGCTGACAACCTTCTACTTCATTGACAAGGCCACACTCTAAACACTGCTGTCGATCCAGTTGTGAACAAGCTATTGATATTCTGAAGCAGTGACAAGCGGGGACAAGCGAGCTAAACGACTAGACCTGATTCACAGATATTAACTACACAGGTCAAGGTTAGAACTTACACTTGAGATGTACACACGGCCATCACCCTTGACCTTGAATGCAAGTGTGTCATACGGCTCCAAATCAAGATTATGCTTCTCCTGTAACAAATTACAGCTATAGTACTTAATACACAGACTATGAAACTAGTTCTTCTCAACCAAGACCACGACCCAAAAATGGTTGGTGCAACTCATAAAACAACTCGAACAAAGGGGGGAATACTTTTCCATCTTTCTGGTCAAAGATCTCAACTCTTTAGTGAAAGTTCCGGCCTACCTCTGCGGTTCGCATTCCCGTGAAACCGCTTTTTTTGAGCCTCAATGGAGCTCTATCATCCAGTTCAATCGATAAGGTACCACTGAAAACCCCTACGCCCATGACGAATCCACATCGTCAATACAATCCTATCAAGGAACAGTATCAGTACTATCTTGCAAAAAGTGCTGACATTCGTGAAGAAAAAAGATCCGACTGTACATATTGACTAAAAGTTCCATTGAACATTTTCATTCGGGGATGGACAATGAGGTCCTGTTCCAAGTAATCAGGAGCAAGATAAACAAGAATGTAAAGACGGCATGCACGTGGAAAATGTAGCTCTGTTATAACACATGTACAAGTGACTGGCAGCATTCGGACAAAATTTCGATCGATGGAGATGGAGTAACATGATTTACGAAGAGAACAAAGCAGATAATGAATTAACTATTGTGGTCTTAGCTCTCACACTTGAGTATTGAAGTTGAAACTGCGAAGCATAAAAAAGTTTCGTGCTTCGTATCCAAAAAATTCACAGTTCTACAAGTGCTTTGATGGTAATACATGCTTCTTCAGTATGCTTGTCTCGACGGTGAAGAGTGAGATCAAGAGAAGCTCGGCCCGAATAAGACCTCGTTGCTGTTAATGTGGAGATTAAACATCCAACCGAAATCAAGAGCAGACATTAGTAGCAAGAAGAGAGTTTGTTTGTTTGTTTAGAAAAAATAAAACGACCGTTCAACCAATTACATACCAGCTTCGCCATTATTTTCACTCGGCTTCAGTGTTGCAGTCGACAGCCCTGACAAAACGAGGACAACAAAAAGCTTGCTCAGAGATAATTTCTAACTCTTCAAACGAGGGTTTAAGATCTAGTTCAAACTTTCATGCATTGAATCAAAAGCATGTAACATGATCCAAAACAGAAAACCTAATGGGTTCGGCCACAAGTCTCCAGCTTGTTGGAAAAATTTCTATGAAGATATTATAAGCAGAAAGATATGGTCCAACTGGGTTCTGGGTCAGCAAAGGGTCATTTACCGCCGTAAACTGCATCAGAGTATACGTCCCACTGGCTCACATCCTTCGTCGTAGCAAATTTAAAAAGAACCTGCTCTGCCGGTGGACTAAGATCCTGTAAATTCCATGCAAACGCTGCAACCAAGAAATGCCAAACAATACAATGCAGTGTAAGATTTTCCTTACCAGAGAAGAATACCAGTATACTTTTCTACTCGCTGAAAAAGAAATTGTAAATCCAGACATGAAAATGCAGATGATCGACAGATAGGTGACAAAATATCGTCTGATTGAATGTATGACCCAAAGAGCTGACAATTCCGCTGCTCAATCCACAAAAAATCCAACGGGGAACCGAGGAAAAATTACACTGCGAGATTACGAGCTGAGTGTCGGTTGAATTAAAAATTTCAAAAGCATTCAATCCAAGACAGAAGCGGCGGGTGAGCAGGAATCGGACCACGGCGTGTGGCTTGAACAGACGATTGGAGGAATTTGCGCAGCATCACCCTCCTCTGGCTGGCTGCAGCGAAGAATCACCACCAACTTGCTCCACCTCAATTACGACACAACACTTCATGAACGCCAGCCACGCACGCAGCGATCGCTCTGCTCTACTCTGCGCTTCCAGCGATGGCCGAACGAGCAATTGATTCCTCGCGTCGCTGCATTTCGTCACTTCTCCCTCGACTGTCATCATGACCCTTCGTCCCTTTGCGTGCCGATGCGCCTGCGACCATGCTTGTGCTTACGCAGTTGGTTTATCAACTGTGACGCAGTCGTCTCTGTCCGAGGCAAGATTGAACTAGGCCAGCTTCCAACCGTGGTTCACATTGTGCATCTGGTTCGAACCGATCCGTCGACCAGAGTTGAAAAAGTATGTGGAAATTATTTGTTATTCCTATGACACAATCGAATGATGAGAGTTTGAATTGTCAAGGTTGTGATGGATCATAGGTTAGGCTTCGGAGAATACTCGATGTAAAAAGCCGTAAAGAACTAACTGCCTAGGAAAAGCCCGAGAATACAAAGTCACCCGGCAAAAGGAGAAAAGAACAACTTTCTTTCAGTTTCTTATGATACACTTCAATTTTCAACACATATTTTTTTAATACGCTCTTTAAAGCTAAAGATATGAACAAATTCGGAACGGGTGAAAAGGTGACTCATGAAATAAAGGTGAACACAGAGAGCATGTTTTTCTACGAGCACTCATAAGAGCACACCTGTTCCTATGTCCATTCCTAGTGACAAGACACCAGGTAAAGCCCTACGTGAGCTACAAACTTTCGTTTCATACATGTCGCCCCAGATGACTCCCACCGTTTTATGTTCTTTCTTGGAGTTGACTTCCACCCAAGCTTTCAAACTAGATGTACACGATCGTATTTGTACAATGTGTTTTCTAAAACAACAGAATTTCAGCACATGCAATCAACTACAAACAAGAAAAGTATGAAAAGATCCACTCATCTGGCTTTTTAGATATGACTGTTGGATGTTAAAGACCTTGGAGTGATCGGATCTGGTACATATTGAAATCGTATACTATGGTACATTCCAAACTTAAACAGATATATATCTTGACCTGAATCTCAACGGAATATAGCAGAGTTTCATGAGCGAGCACACATGATTAGTATCGAGTGTTCTTATATTTCCTTAGTACGAGGTGCTTCTCACAACTCTTATAATTTGTTTGGTATCATTACTTGGTTTAAGTACCATTGGTTTTGACTGGACTAGAAGAAGCAATCTCACCCATGGAGATGACACTGACTGGACATCAATATTTATGACTAGTATGCTTTTTTTTTTCTGCCCTTAGGTTATCTTTGTTTTTTCAACTAATCTTGAAGATCCGCTAAATTTCTTTGTTGTTAGAAAAAAATTTCTTAAGAAACTTCCTTGACAGTGGATTTTGCTCAAAAAAGTTAAACCAAGCTTTTGGCAATTCATGAATTATTTCGAAATAAAATGATAGATATATTAATCTTGAAAATTTATATATTTTTAACTTTTTTTTTGAAATTCTGATTTGATGAACATATGTGATTTGATAGAGAAAATTTAAGAGACATATAAAATTTATTTGTAAATCTTATTTAGAATTATAATATAAATTATTACAATCGTTTTATTTTATAATTGAAAATTTCATGAAATTTTTTTATAATATGTATAACTTTAAGCTTATGGATGATAATGATAATGTTGATTTCATTTAATTAGTATTTGTTAGAATACAGTTAATACCTATTACTTCGGATTTGTACATTACTGTCATAGTTGTTAGGACTGAGATGTAGATATGGTTGCTTTTTTAGTACTTAGGATGGTTAACACCAAGATATGCGAACCTTATATGGTTATGTCTCATGACAAGGGTGTAAACCACTTTAAGGGGCATATCCCTCATGGGAGATGTGATTTGTGTGGCTCCTGCAGCTTTTGGTCCCATTCGGATTGGATATTAAAATCCAATCCGGGACACCTGTGTTCATCCAGCATTCAAACACTTCCTCACGCACAGTTGAGGTTCCTCATCCTATGGTTAGCGCTTCTCTCATGATGAATGATGAAAGAGAAGAAAGAGGAGAAGAGAAGATTCCTTTATACGTTTTGATATCATAGTAGATTAATAGAGCAATGAGAATTGGGAATCCACTCAGAGGTTGAGGAAGTATTGAATAGATATTGTATTTGATATATGAAGCGATTCACATGCTCTTGCGAACTCGTTCCAAGCCTCAACAGCTATCTGATAGCTTGCAATTAGTGGTTGTCTTTCTCATTCCATGACATTGTTCAACATTAGAAAGTAAAGGAGACTTCTTTCGTCCCATGCCTTCTTACTCTTTGTGCCGGACGCAGGTGTGCCGGTTGTAGAACTGGGGGAGTGGTTGGCTGGAGCTCGGTACCTTCAATAAGTTACATCAATCCTTCAATTTGAAAGATCCAAGAGTGAAAGTGTTTCCCATCAAATTTGGAAAAATACTTCCATGGTTACTCGAGTATTACTATTCCTTGCAACATCTCATTGTTTTCACTTTTTTCACGGTGTGGTGCAAGATACTAATCCCACTTTCAGAAATTTTTGCGAAATGTGAATTGCATGAATCTTTAAAATTTTGCTCAAAATTTTAAAGAAATTTTGAAATTTGAGATTCTAGTGCTTCAGGTTAGCACTGACAGGTTTTAAACAAATTAGGTTGCTCAAACTTGGAGCAGAATTTCAAAACCTTGTGGGGATACGGGATCTCTAGTAATTGTTCTCTCAAATGTCATAGAATTGGTTCAAAGCGAGAAGCGTACTCCTAGCTTGTCAATATTCAAGCGTACTTGAATGAGAATAGAACATGCTCTGATACCATATCTATTAATCAAGCATTCAACCCTGTGAGTGAACTCTCACTCTCATTGCTTTTATGATCTAATAGTATTTAATTTTGATATTTTTTGGATAAAATAAATGAAGAAAATATTAAATCAATATTTATAAATCAGATTCAAAAGTTCATGTACTGCATATTTTGAATTTGGTTGATTTTGACATTGAACTTTTTGATTTAACAAATAAATCTTGAATAGAATGATAAATTGATTGAATAAATATGCTGAACGTCAGGTACAAATTTTTTAATGGAATGATATTTCCTTGAAATTGAATTCGAATACAATCTTATAACATATTATCAATATAATCAATTGAATTGAACATTTCAAATTTTTTTTGGAAATCTCATTAATTACCCATTAATGAGATGATATTTTTTAAAAAAACTATATAATATTCATATTATTACACCGTATTTTTTTTGGTGATATAAAATATGATTAACAATAAAATTTGACTTATTTTATCAATGAAAATACATGTTTTTGTATTTTGATTTTTTCAAAGTACATAAAAAATAAGAATTACTTTGTGTTATTACATCATGTTATTTTTTGATTTTTATAATCGTTAAATTATCTTGTTCAAATAATATTATTTTTCTACAAGCACAAATAAATTTTCAAAATGCAAATATATTTACTTATCTAATCTATTCAAAGCAAAGATTATTGATTTTATATGCAAAGAAATGAACAATGTTTTGTTCGTAAGTTATATTCCTAGATTATAATTCGTTTGTTTAATTAAGCTTGCATAGAGCAAGAATGTATTATATTATATTGAAAATTTTAGATACATAAGATTTTTCAAACAAATTAATTTTGATTTTAAAAGTTTCAAAATTTGATCAATTTCTTTGATGGAAAAACTATATTTAGATAGATTGAAAATAGTTATACCATTAGAAATAATATTAGAACAGAAACATTGGAATGGTTTATTCCTCTGCTCGCGAGACTGGTTTTATTACACTAGCCATCAGATGTAACACTTACCTCCAATAAATTTGCGCGTACTGGTCATCTCTTAAGGATCAAATAAATAAATCTCCGATTTTGCTATCTCCGATATAGCTCTTCACGGATTGCTGTAGAGGATTATGGCTAAGTCACGAGAGCACCAATATTCTCTCTGTTCACACATCATCCTTCAAGCATATTTCAAAATTCCATAACAAACATATACCGAGGGATTGAACAAAAGCATGACTGTGCACAATTTCTGTAGTACCTACAAATGAGATTTGACATTCTTGTGAGGTCATAATAGAGCACGAAGTCGATGATCTCTCTATACTAGTCAACAGAGATATATATATTTATTTGAAGTTAGAATACACAAAGTTATTTAGTCGTTTGATTTCCCAGAGAACAGTGTGCAGCACACGGTGAAGATTTCCAAGGCTACTGTGATTACTACGCATACATTTCCACAGAGGATCAACTCAGCACGTTCTGTGGGTCCACCCTTTTAAAACGTAGCGTCAAGGCAAAGTACATGACTTCGAGCTTCGGAGAAAAGAGTTTAAGCCACAAAGTTCGGAGCACATACTTCGCCTTCCTCACAAACGATAAATATTACTATCATTATTACTATATTATAATTATTACTCGAAGCTAACACTAGATGGAGCTTTACAAAAATTCTGGAGCCTACAAACACGGCAGTCATGGTCAGGGGACCACACTCAAACTTTCCGGGAACCCCGCAAAAACCAGTGCATTCTCAGCCAGCGAAGATGGAACAGGAAATTAGATCATATCACAGCAAGCTAGTACGTGACTTCTCGTATTTTGACTTAGATTTAGTCATCATACTTCGACTATTATGTTAAAAAGGGATTTAAACATCCAATTATATGGTCGTACTTTATCATATATAATGATCATAGTCACGGAAGAAGGTCGAATTGGCATTCATCGTTAAGCCTTCACGATAAACGGAGTGTACCTTTTCTTATCCCCGACAAAGTTTTCGTCGAAGGATTAAAAGAGCAAACAATTGTTGCGGACGCTGAGGGGACACTGAACAACATTGTGAGACTTTTGCAGAGGTTTCAAGAGGAGATCATCAGGCCACTTCTTCGATTTTATTTTTACCCATCAGAGCATATTTCGTCATGCGTGAGTCAGGAGCACATATAATTTCACCGAATTCTACGTGCATGACAGAAAGAAATGTGTGAACTTCGTCGCGTTTTTCACGGTGGCCATAAGGGTGGAGACCCCACAGGACTGTCCCGCGACATCAGCAGATCGAGAGATTCATGCGTGTGG